CCTCCATCCATTCATCTCTCATCCAACATTCTGTCTTCTTTCCCTACCCTCCTCTATCTTCGCCCTCCTCCCTCCTCCTCCTCCTTCCTCCCTCCCTCCCTCCCTCCTCCCTCCCTCCTTCCTCCTCCCTTCCTCCCTCCCTCCTCCCTCCCTCCTCCTCCTTCCTTCTTCGAGAAAAAAATTAAGAAAACAAGAAAAGAGAGAAAATTATAAACAAGAAAAAGGAAAGGAGAAGAAAGACCAAGAATAAGAACGAGAAATAGAGAATTAAGGAAGAGCTAAATATGATAAAGATGACAGGCATAACTTAACGTCACTTTAGGAATTTCCTCAGATCACAGGGGAAAAAGCTGACGAAAGGAGTCATTTTTTTTTCCTAGGTGGGTAAAGTAACTTTTAATGGGCAAGAATCAAAATGAGGCATCAGAGGCCTTTGATATGAGGGCAAGGGTCGAGGAATGAAGGGAATAGAGATTAGGTTGTTAGGGTTAGGTTAGGTTAGGTTAAGCTGGAATGCCCAATCTTCAGGTTAAACAAAATCTTTAATAATCAAGTAAAGGTCACATTTGCATAATTAGAAAGCTCTATTTAAATTCAAATTCATAAAAAAAATATTCCTAAACTTTGGAGCTAAAAAAGTAATTTATGTTTTAATACAAGGAAACTACTTTGAATAAGTGGAAGGAAACTTGAACGAGAGGAACTATTAACACGGCGGAATTATAACATAAACTGGGTTTAATTTTTTTCTTCCAGGTACGGTGTTTCCTCAATGGCTGGGGAAGTCCCTTAATTATTTCCGGTTATGAGCTTGGCTATACTGTTTTCTCGAGTGGTAGGTTGGCTATACTGTGTCTCTTGTGGTAGGTTGGCTATACTGTTTCTTGTGGTAGGTTGGCTATACTAAAATTTCTTGTAGGTTGGCTATACTGTGTCTCTTGTGGTAGGTTATTATACTGTTTCTCTTAGTAGGTTATTATACTGTGTCTCTTGTGGTAGGTTGGTTGCCATTGTGTCTCTTGTGGTAGGTCATTATACCAGGTTCTTGTAGGTTGGCTATACTGTTTCTCTTTGTGTAGGTTGGTTATACTGTGTCTCTGTGGTAGGTTGGCTATACTGTGTCTCTTGTGTAGGTTATTATACTGTTTCTCTTGTAGTTGGCTATACTGTGTCTTTGTAGGTTGGCTATACTTCGTTTCTCTGATGATAGATAAAATTATACTATTTTCCTATTGTAAGACATTGGCAACACTGCTTCCTAATCCATTTTTTCCCATTACCTTGGATGACAACGCTGCACCTATCACTATAAATTCGAACACCTATAATTTCACTACGAGGAATAAATCCCTATAATTATTACCTATAACTACAAGGAACAAATCACTCGGACGATATACGGAAGTCATTCGTCGAGGCTGAAATGTGGTGAAAAATGTGGTAAATAGTGAAATGTTACGAACGTCTGAGTTTACCACCCCTGGAGTTTGATCCATAAAATGTTCGTTCATTGGTTTTTTTATCGTTAGTGATGATGTGAGAATGTGTTTAAATGTTTGAGTTAAGATAAATTACTCAAATAAACATTGTGTCTAAAAGGACCCCTTATGTATTTAAATGTTGACCTCCCTCCACCCCCCTTCTCTTCCCCCACGTGTTCAAAGTTCCTCCTCACGTGTCCAAAGTTCCCCTTCTTCCCCACGTGTTCAAAGTTTTCACGTGTCCAAAAGTTCCCCCACGTGTCCAAAAAGTTGCTGCCCCCTCACGTGTCCAAAAGTTGCTCTCCTCACATGTGTGTCCAAAAAGTTGCCCCCCCCCACGTCCAAAAGTTGCTGCCCCCTCTCACGTGTGTCCAAAGTTGCCCTCCCACGTGTCCAAAATCACTATGGGTTTTCCACATCATTGCTCGTTTCCTTCAAACTCTTGGTGCAGTCAGCCGTGTTGGGAAGGAGAGAGAGAGAGAGAGAGAGATAGAGAGAGAGTTGGCGTAGGATGGGAGGAAAAGATGTTTATTGGACCACAAAAAACGCCATTAAAGCCTCTTAGTGGTGTTAGTGGCCTGAAGGTAGGGAGGCGTGGGTTGTAATGCCTTATCACCTCTCTCACCCCATCCATCCAAACTTAACCTAACCTAATATAACCTAACCTAACTTAGCATTACCTAATCTAACCCAGCTTAACCTAACTTAAAATAATCTAACCTCACCTCCTATAATTTAACAAGATATTAGAATATATTAAAACAACACCCGTATCTCCAGACCAGGTAAATAATTAGGTGTTAGTTGTTCAGTGGACATCGTAAAGTTTATACACACACACACACACACACACACACACACACTAAGATCCCAAATTCGAATCCCCTGAAATGAACCCTGAACCTACGAATCTTGAGATAATCTGGATTCACAAGGGTTCAGAATCACAGTTGGAAGAGTCTCCCAGCCAAGCAGCAGCCTCGTCCGCCACTCCGGCTCCACCACGCTCACCCGATAAGGTCATTTCCCTTCCCATAAATCACCTGTATGGACTCCCTGCACTGTCCCACACCAGGTCAAACTTGCTGAGGCAGACCAACCATTACCCGGGCTGGATGACACACGTTGTAAAGGCTTGAGCGACAAGTGAGGTGGTAAGGGACACGCTGACGACGCCAATATTTACAGTTAACGACGCCAACACCGTAAATACAAACAGCTGACGACGCCAACACCGCCAGTATAAACAGCTGACGACGCCAACACCGCCAGTATAAACAGCTGACGACGCCAACACCATCCCTGTAAATATAAACACCAGAACGACACCCAGCACCAATATCAACACCACAGCGACACCATCACCACTAATATCAACACCACATTAGCCTCCATACAGTAAACCTCCAGGACTCCATCGAGCAGAGGTCCGAAAACTGGAGGATCAGCGCCAATAAACTCAGGATCAGACGCCTTCCTCCGACCCTCCTCTGAATAGGGCAGCTCAGGGGGAAAGAGAGTCGGATCCTCTATATATTTCGGGACGGGACGCAGTGTCGAGAGTTTATGATTCTGGTGATGGAGTTGCCAAGCCGTAAATAAATATAGAATAAGGGGTGGTGGGGAGGGAGTTTTAATTATGTGATGGGGAGGATGTGTGATGGGGAGGATGTGTGATGGGGAAGATGTGTGATGGGGAAGATGTGTGGTGGGGAGGAAGGTTTTAATTATGTGATGGGGAGAGAAAAAAATATGGGAATGAATATATTTAATACTTTTTTTTACCTTGGGTTTAGAGATCAAGCTCACCCCCTCCCTGTACCCCCTTCCCTGTAGCCCTCCCCTTCCCCTTGCCCCTCCTCCTTCCTCTTCCTTCCCCCAATAATCCACATCTCTTATTTTGTCTCAGAGGAGGAAATTATTATTATTATTATTATTATTATTATTATTATTATCTCTTCAGTATTGACAAATTATACTTCCTTGCTCTCAATGGGCAAGGTGTAGCGACTCCCTCGTTCACTCCTACCATTTGCATCTCAACTTGTTGGACGGTCGGGTCAGTATCTCGTGAAGTCTCGCTGTAACTGTGCTGGATCTACTACCTAGATATTGACACATATCCAGCACAGATAATCAATTCATATATTTCCGGTACTATGACGTAACTACTGTAGGTGTCTGTAGTACCGGGGGGGGGGGAGTTGTCTGAGGTATTGATGTGTATGACTCACGTGAAGATTAACCACCCTGACGCTAACCTAACCTAACCCAACCCAACCCAACCCAACCCATTGTTATTTTGACGTCATTTGGAGGGTCATAATTACTTGCTTTAGCTTTGAGTCAACCAATTAGGTGATTTCTTACACAGATTTTCTTGCGGGGAATAATCTGAATGCAAATCTGAGGCCTTGACAGATTATTTAAGAATATTTGATGAGGAAGATAGGGAGGAGGGGGGGGGGGGTGAAGGGGGTGAGGGGGACACTAGTACCCCCTCCTCCTCACCTACGACGACGAGGTAAACAATGGAAAAATATAATACAAAAATAATAAGAATATGGTAATAATAATAAGAATAAGGTGATAAGAATACGAAGAAAAATAAGAATAGGGTGATAAGAATAAGAACAAGAGTAAGAATAGGGTGATAAGAATAAGAATAGGGTAATCAATTTCAAAAGGTACAGGTGGGAGTAGATGAGGTGGAAGAGTGTTGGCGTGGGTGACACTCCTCAGTAATGGGGGAGAAGAAGCACTGAGGGAGGTGGTGATGGTGGTGGGGGGTTGTAGTTGAATGTGGGTGCGCCAAGACCGTAGACTTTATAGCGATACATAGCGGCCTCTATTTCGTTAATAATGTACAGCAAACAAGACGAGTTTAATATTACCCAAAGTTATCGCCCGCTAAAAAATGTTGACCCACGTACATTAATCTCACACGGACAAACAATATTCTTCAACACTGAGTTTAATCACAGTCGTTCATTTAAATTGCTCAGTGTTGAAGAATAATGCAGTGGCTCGTTTAACCACACTGTAAACCTATGTAAATTAGGTTGGTAAAAGTCTAATGCTGGACGAGACTTTAATCCCCCACTAGATTACATTGATATTATTGTTTGTGTGTGTGAGATTAATGTACGTGGGTCAACATTTTTTGGCGGGCGATATTAAACTCGTCTTGTTTACTGTACATTATTAACGAAACAGAGGCCGTTTATTTTACTCGTAAATATTAACAAATGTGTAACTCTTTCATGTTTATTATTAAAAAAAATTATATTTATTTTTGTCGTCATAGTAGGATTTTTTTTATCCAGGTAAGTTTGTTTTCTTTTGAGCAAGATTGAAGGAGTCTCCATAACTCGGCAAAGCAGAAGTTACTAAAAGAACTCCCTCATGTATAAGAAACATGATCCGTGTGGTCAGTGAAGGCGATACAGAGGGATCACGTAACCAAAGCCTCACATCAAAATGAATTTGGTCAGTGTTAACAGGAGGCATTGGTGTGTGTCATGCCCAGGTGCCACACTGCCCAGGTGCCACGCTGCCCAGGTGCCACACTGCCCAGGTGCCACACTGCCCAGGTGCCACACTGCCCAGGTGCCACACTGCCCAGGTTCCACGCTGCCCAGGTGCCACGCTGCCCAGGTGCCACACTGCCCAGGTGCCACACTGCCCAGGTGCCACGCTGCCCAGGTGCCACACTGCGCAGGTGCCACGCTGCCCAGGTGCCACGCTGCCCAGGTGCCACACTGCCCAGGTGCCACATTGCCCAGGTGCCACACTGCCCAGGTGCCACGCTGCCCAGGTGCCACACTGCCCAGGCGCCACACTGCCCAGGTGCCCTGCCCAGGTTCCCGCTGCCCAGGTGCCACACTGCTTGGTGCCACGCTGCCCAGGTGCCACGCTGCCCAGGTGCCACACTGCCCAGGTGCCCACACTGCCCAGGTGCCACTCTTTCTCCCTTCTCTGACCATCCAACCTTACCCTCTTGTCTTTGGCCTCCTACGTCTCCCTGTTCCTCTTCCTTCTTTCTTTTCCCCACCCTCCCTCACCTTTACCCTTCCCCTTCCTTCCTCCACCAGTCTCACATCCTCCCCTTCCCTCCTCACTTCCCTTCACCTCCCCCTAGCCTCCGCTTCCCCTCTTGAGTTCCCGTTCCTTCGTTTCCCCTTTCTATCTGCCAGCCTCCCACTTCCACACATTCTCTACCCCACCACCTAGTCTCCCCCTTCCTTCCTCCCCCATCCTTCCCTCTCTTGATAAAAAGCTTCCGACCGCCCGCGTTCACCCTTCACACACACACACACACACACACACACACACACACACACACACACAGATTCACGATTCTTGTTTTCTTATCTCTGTCTTCCCTTCCCCTTCCTCCATCCCCCCATCTTGCCCCCATCCCCCATTCGCCCCCTCCACACTCGCCCTTCAGCTCGTCAGACAGATTACGATGGCGATCAGAGCCACAGCATCCAGATTCATGGGCTGGGATGAGAGCTGTCGTGTTCCCCTCCCTCAGGTCTTCCCTCATGCGGGATTACAATTCAATACGGACATCCTCCCCTCACCCGGCTCCCCCTCACTCCCCCCCATCCCACATCCCCCCACCCCCACCTCCCCCTTACCCTACCTCCCACCTCCCCCCCTACCTCCCCACCTCCCCACTCACCCCTACCTCCCACACACCTCCACCGTCCCCACCTCCCCACTTCTCCCCCACCTCCCCCCATACCCCCAACAGTCCCTCACCTCCCCCCCCCTACCGTTGAGGCATGCGACCCGTGTTCAGTATTGACACATGTAGTCTCGATTAAACTTTGACGAGGGAGACAAGAGAGGTCGATTAAACCCTGGCGTATGCTGCCTGGTTTAATATTGGGCACGGAGGATTGTCTTTATATAGAGAGATGAGGTTTGATTAAATGTTGGCGTATGTGAGGCTTTCTGTCGGCGTATGTGAGGCTTGTGAGGCTTTCTGTCGGCGTATGTGAGGCTTTCTGTCGGCGTATGTGAGGCTTGTGAGGCTTTCTGGACTCTCACGGACAAGAAAAAAATATGGATTTGATTAGAAAGGAAGATATTAATTTTATCGTACGTGAACTGTTGTGATTTTTTGGTGTATATATTTTGGCGATTTTTTTTTAATTTAGCATATTTGTTTTTCGCTCTTTATTCTTATGACTTGGTAATGATATTGTTCTTTATTAATGTTTTATCGCTGTGTTTAATCTCTCTCTCTCTCTCTCTCTCGGTTTTTGTAATTCCGTCTGACTCCTCTTTTATTCATCCTATCTCCATTCCCACTTTATCTGTCACCTTGCTTTCATGTTCGTGTTGCCTTCCTCCTCTTTCTTTATTCCTCTCCCTTCTGTTTCTTTCCTTCCGGTCCACCTCCTTCTTCCTTCTCCTTCCCATCTTCCCCTTCCTCCTCTACCTCCGCCTCCTCCCTCTATTCTTCTACTCTCTCCATCATTCACTCCTTCCTTTAATTATCCCTTCCATCCCATCCCTATCCTACCCCTCCCCTCCTCTCCTCTCTCCTCAATCCTTTCCCACGCCTCTACTCCCCATATTTCCCCCTTTTGTCTCACCTCCCCTCCCCTCCCCTCTGCCACATCCTCTCACCTCCCCTCCTCTATACATCCCCTCACCTCCTCCCCTCACCTCCCTCCCTCTCTCCTCCCTCCCCTCCCCACCTCCCACCTCTCCTCACCTCCCCTCTCCTCCCCTCACCTCCCCTACCCCTCACCTCCCCTCCTCCCCTCCCCTCCCCTCCCCTCCCCTCCCCTCCCCTCCCTCCTACATACCCCTTCTTTGCTGACTCCATGCTAGTTCATTACCTATTTTATAGTTACTCTCCCCTCCCCACAGAGGCGCCCCCTAACTGACCTCCCACGGGGCGCCTCCCCTGGGGAAACACCTCCCACAGGGTGCCCCTCCCTGGGAAACCTTGCCTCCAGGGCGCTCCTCCATAGAGCTCTCCAGCGCCCTTGGGGCGCGCGGCGAGGGTTCAGACGACGTATAGGACTGGCTCTTTAAAAGTAGGGCGTTGATACGTGTAAATAGTTACATATACTGTATATATATATATATATGAAGAGAGAGAGAGAGAGAGAGAGAGAGAGAGAGAGAGAGAGAGAGAGTAGCGTCTCACCTGCGCTAATTAACACCTTACCTTATGAATATTGTACAACACCACACAGTTGTAGATTTGATTTAGTCTGTCAATCACGAGGCAGGTCGGTAGTCATCAAGGAGCCTGGGGAGGAAGGTGTGGGTGTAGGGGAGGGTGTGTGGGAAGGGTGTGTGGGGAGGGTGTGTGGGGAGGGTGTGTGTGGGAAGGGTGTGTGTGGGAAGGGTGTGTGGGAGGGTGTGGAAGAGTAACTAGGGGAAGGTAGCGTTAAAGCCACCCTTAAATAAACGCCATTTTTTAAATAATTTATTCCTCCAATACCCAATAATTCACCTGTGTATCTATTTAATTTATTCACCCGGTCACCTGTCCAATAATTCACTCACCCACTAGTTAATCCATTTATATAATTATTTACTTAATCATTGATAGGTACAATTCACCCAACACCCTGTAATAAACCCAAGTCTCTTCTCATTACAATATATTTCACAGTCTGTCTTTGTCAGTATATTTCAGGTTTAAAGACAATATAATTTTAGGACATATATTGTTTTATCATAAGTGAGGCAAGATAAGTGTATTCTAGCGTCTTGAGTTATGAGGAATATTCGTCTTAAGAACCTTTGTGAATAAGGGTGGGGATTGGTAGGTCCTTGTTTATGGGGTTGAGAGAGAGAGAGAGAGAGAGAGAGAGAGAGAGAGAGAGAGACTACATTACCTCAAATAAAAAAAATAAATAAAAAAAATGTATATATAAACGTCACGTTCAATATATACACACATAATATACACCAACACGTATATATATACACTCTCCCAAATTATAGGAATATACATTAAGAGGTTTAAGCTGGGTTAAGGGCCCAGGAGAGAGACGTAATGTAAACACAACCCAAATGAGTCCAAAGAAAATGTAACCTATTTCATGCATAACTAAACTAAATAAACAAGAGGCGGGCGATTACCAGAATTTTTAGTGCGTTGGGTGAGGAAATGGGGAGGGTAGGAGGTGAAGGGGGGATAGGAGGTGATGGGGAGGATAGGAGGTGATGGGGAGGATAGGAGGTGATGGGGAGGATAGGAGGTGAGGATAAGGAGAGAAGATAAGGAAATGGATTGGGGGAGAAGGATAGGTGATGAGGAAAAGGATAGGAGCTGAGGAGAATGATAAGAGAAGAGCAGAGGATAAGGATAGAAAGATAGGAAGAGAAAAGAATAGGGAAGAGGGGGGGAGAAAATAAGCAGAGGAGAAACAATAATGGAAGGAAGTTGAAGAGAAAGAGGAAGAGAAGAGAATGAATGATTGGAGAAAGGCGTGAGTAAGGGAGAAAGACATGGGAAACGGAGGAAGAGATGAGTAAGAGAAGAGAAAGAGGTGGAGAAGAGAAAGGGGTGAGGAAGAGGAGGAGGTAGTGGTAGTGGCGTGTCTTGGTGGTAGTGGCGTGTCTTGGGAACATTTGATTGAGTAATGAAAAGACAGAAATGTTTTGAGCTAATTGAAGGTAGACCCAATGGCTTCTGTACACGCTGCTGTATTGGGCTGTGTCTGCTGTGTTGGGCTGTGTCTGCTGTGTTGGGCTGTGTCTGCTGTGTTGGGCTATCTGCTGTGTTGGGCTATCTGCTGTGTTAGACTGTCTGCTGTACTAGACTGTCTGCTGTGCTGGACTGTCTGCTGTGCTAGACTGTCTGCTGTGCTAGACTGTCTGCTGTATCTATAACTAATGCTATTCACATGTATATTAATTCATCAGAAGGAACATAATTATTCTTTACCAGAGAAGAAATATAAATTTTGTTGTTTGTTTAATAATGACTAATTAGATCTATATAATTAATTATCCTCGCTATAATTATTAATAAAGGTAATTAATCGGTATTTTCAAAGGCCGTATATAATTGTTCTTTACGGGGTTAATCAAGTGACCAACCAGGACCATTAAAGACCTCGTTAAGCCTTTCAGATGAGGTCACGCTTGAGAGGTCATTGGTCATGCTCGATAGGTCATAGGTCACGCTCGATATTTCATAGGTCACGCTCGATATTTCATAGGTCACGCTTAAGAGGTCATAGGTCACGCTTGAGAGGTCATAGGTCACGCTTGAGAGGTCATAGGTCACGCTTGAGGTCACAGGTCACCTTAAACCAGAGCTTATCTTTATTTTGATATGAACCCATCATATGGATCCTTTTATATAAACCCTATATAAACCCTCCTATTATGAACCCCTAGATATGAACCCTTTATATGAACCCCCTCATATGAACCCCTTATATAAACCACCTAATATGAACCCTCTTATATGAACCCCTAATATGAACCCCCCTCATATGAACCCCTAATATGAACCCCCTTATATGAACCCCCCATATGAATCCTAAATATGAACCCTTAACCAAAACGGTATAAAAAAAAATCCTTTAATTGAAAACCATTCATTCAGTATGAAAAACAATGACTAAAATTTGATTGTGGTTAAGATAATTATCATAAATTACCGTTCACAAACCTAAAACTTTCGTTCATAATTGATATCACAGGTGTTGGGTCAGTTAGGAGATATTTTTAGAGAAGTAACGAAAATCAGAGATAAAATTAATGAATTGGAATTAATCTGAGAAATTTGATGATTATTGAGGAATATTTTAACATGAGTAACAGTGATAAATATTGTCTGTCTTTATTTGAGAAATATAACTTGATTATGTATAGAGAGAGAGAGAGAGAGAGAGAGAGAGAGCTAATCCATCTCATAATTTCCCTCCCGAGTGTGTGAAAGAGAAAGACAGACAGACAGAAAGAGAGAGACACACAAACAGACAGACAGACAGACAGAAAGACAGACCAGTAGCTAACTAACCTCACCATAAGCTCGGTACGCTGTTTCTTGATCAGGGGGGTGAAGGCCTCTCTCTCACCTGGTAATGGCTGCCATGTTATTTCTACCTCGTACAAAACTGCAGGTTGGTAGAGGGGGGAGGGTGGGAGTGGTGTGAGGGGTGGGAGTGATGTGAGGGGGGAGTCAGGGGTGGGAGTAAGGGGTGTAGTGTTCTAAGGGGAGAAAGGGAGAGGGGGGGTGGTCACTGTTTAATGGTAATGGTGATTTATAGAGTGGTAATAATTAAGGGAGATTAATGGTTAATGGGGAAGATTGTTGGTAACTGAAGTGGTGGGGAAGGAGGTATATCGAGTGGTGTAAAGGTGAGGGAATATATTGATTTTTTCCCTTTTTTTACCCCTTCTTTCCTCCTTTTCTTCCCCCCCTAACGCCCATCTCCCCTCCTCTTCCCCTCCCTCTCACCCATCTCTCCTCCTCTTCCCCTCCCTCTCACCCATCTCTCCTCCTCTTCCCCTCCCTCTCCCACCCATCTCTGGTCTTCTCCTTCCCCCCCCTCCTTCCCCTCCCCCCATAGATCTAGATAGTGGTGGAGGCATAAAAAATGTCCTCTATAAAATACTCCACTGGTTTAATTTTTGATGGAAAGCGGAGTAAATAAAGCGTCTGGCCTGAGTGGTTTAGGGGAAATTGGTCTGGGTTTATCTTAGGGTTTAAGGGAGGAAATTGACGTAGGTTTAGTTAGGGTCTAAGGGGAAAAATAACGTTCTGCTGTCGTAACTTTAACTATTTTTCATGTTAGTGGATTAATGTTACGATAGCGGATACTTAACTTTAACAGCAAAAGAACGTATCTAACAGACTCACTCTAACTAACACACTTAAGTTTAACAGCTAAAATGGCGTTGAAATTGAGTCGAGACTTTGAATTGACTTTTCGTACTATGAGAAAAAAAATCACATTAAATTACGACTCCTGGTTGGCGGCTTCCTTGCTGACTCGGCCCCCCCCTTCACCCCCTCCACTCCACCCCCTTCACCCCCTTCACTCCAGCCCCACCCCCCGACGATCATCCAATCACCTCCTCGTTAACTGTCCATGGCCACGCAAGCGGATAACCCCAACGACTAAGAACCGTCGTCTGTGTCGTGGTTGTGTGTGTCGTGTTTGCCAGGTTGTGTGTGTTTGTGTCGTGTTTGCCAGGTAGTGTGTTTGTGTCGTGTTTGCCAGGTAGTGTGTGTCGTGTTTGTCAGGTTGGGTGTGTCGTGTTTGCCAGGTAGTGTGTGTTTGTGTCGTGTTTGCCAGGTTGTGTGTGTCGTGGTTGCCATGTTGTGTGTGTCGTGTTTGGGTAGTGTGTGTCGTGTTTGTCAGGTGTGTGTCGTGTTTGCCAGGTAGTGTGTTTGTGTCGTGTTTGCCAGGTGTGTGTGTGTCGTGTTTGCCAGGTAGTGTGTTTGTGTCGTGTTTGCCAGGTTGTGTGTGTCGTGTTTGCCAGGTAGTGTGTGTTTGTGTCGTGTTTGCCAGGTTGTGTGTGTCGTGGTTGCCAGGTAGTGTATGTGTGTCGTGTTCACCAGGTAATCTGTATCCGTTAAAGACATAAATTTGGGGACCGGGATCACTGGAGCACTCGTGTGTGAATCACCAGCAGAAGCCCCGTAAGAAGAGGCTCCTTCTTTAGAATCCACTGGACCGGTCCATCACGATATATGGACCGCTGACGAACTCTATCTGGCCCAGCTGTCACTAAGACTGGCCCAGTAAAGTAGCTCCAGGGGGAAGGAACACCCACTGAGGTCCTCCTCCATCAGGTGACAGCACTAGCGGGGAGAGTCAGCGCGATGGCATCAGGCGGGGGGAGCGGGGAGAGTCAGCGGTGGTGTCAGCGCTCCCTGTCAGCCAGCCAGCCGCAGTCAACAGCCTCCTATTTCTTTGCGGTTTCCTGTCATCGCTGAGTAGACGATCTTGGGATTGCCTTCCTGAATCCTACATCAGGACTCAACGTGGGGTCGGTCCTACAGCCCCTCTCTGACTCAGCGTGTGGCCCATCCTACAATATTCCCATTGGACTCTGGGTGTAACCGCTTCTACAGAACGAGGATTCAACGTGTAAACTTATCCTACAGAACACAGTAAAACCTACCCTGCACCTCCTATAGGACCTGGATGTAATTGTTCCTACAAGCCAAGGACACAGTGCAAAGCCTCTCCTACACCTCCAATAGGACTCCGGTCTCTCCTACAAGGCTAAAGGACTGCAACTTTGCATATCTCAAACCTGTCTTCATTATCTTCTCAAAAATCGGTCTTCCTCACACTCATTTCTCATCGGGGGATTTTATCACTTAACAACATTATTAGTTCTTGAGATGCTCCCTGTATCACTGTCTTCCCCCGGACCACTTTTTTCCCCATACCATTTTTTCTCCCATCCCACTTTCTTCCCCCTTACCATTTTCTTCCCCTTTACCCTTTTCCTCCCCTTACCACTTTCTTTCCCCGTATGATAAGAATAATTATTTTTTTATCATTCATAATTATATTCGTATGTTATGAATTGACTACCTTATGAAATACACCTGTAATTACCTTTCCAGTATGTACCTGTATCTCACCTGTTCTGAATTATTATTACCATTTTCTCTGTCTCTTTTATCTATTTTTATCTCTAGTATTATTCTTCGTTTTTTTCTTATTCTTCATTCGTGTCTCTGTCGTTTCCTTCATAAGTCAGGGTCACCTTACATTCTTTAGCATTGTGTAATATAACTTCAGATTAATTTTTGGGGGGACAGGTTGACAGAAACAGACAGACGGACAGACAGACAGATAAAGGCAGACAGACAGACAGACAGATACCATTCCTTCATTGAGAGAGAAAGAAAGAGCTATTGAAGGAAATTAAAGAAATATATAATGAATTAGTACTAGTTACAGACGGTCTCTCTCTCTCTCTCTCTCTCTCTCTCTCTCTCTCTCTCTCTCTCTCTCTCTCTCTCTCACACGGGATAAAGCATCTGGTTAGGACTGGGACAAATGATCATTGCCATTACCAACACCACCTGATTTACGGCGTGACTGGCCGGGGTGTTAGTATCTGCCAGGTCGAAGATTAACCTTGTGTGTGTGTGTGTGTGTGTGTGTGTGTGTGTGTGTGTGTGTGTTCTCTACTCTCTCTCTCTCTCTCTAACTGTATTTAACTTTCATTGTTCCCATTATTGTTTTCGCTGTATTTTGTCATGTAGAAGTCTCTGTATTTATGTAATGAATCTTATATATTCATATTTTATTGTATCTTATCTACTGTATTCTTCACTGTATTTCACGTATTTTTATTTTCATCATGTCTCACCTACTGTATTCTACCTGCTGTATTTATCACTGTATCCTACCTACTGTATTCATCACTGTATTCATCACTGTATTCATCACTGTATTCTACCTACTGTATTCTACCTACTGTATTCATCGCTGTATTCATCACTGTATTCTACCTACTGTATTAATCACTGTATTCTTCACTGTATTCTACCTACTGTATTCATCGCTGTATTCATCACTGTATTCTACCTACTGTATTCATCACTGTATTCATCACTGTATTCTACCTACTGTATTCATCACTGTATTCTACCTACTGTATTAATCACTGTATTCTTCACTGTATTCTACCTACTGTATTCATCACTGTATTCTACCTACTGTATTCATCGCTGTATTCATCACTGTATTCTACCTACTGTATTAATCACAGTATACCACCCCAGTTAACCCCCGTTGTGTTTTGTGTCTTATATCGAGGTGTGTTTACCTGCCGGCCGCCGTGATAATGAGCCAGCCAGGTGAGCTTTTCTCCAAGTGTTATATAAATGCAAGAGTATTTTTCAAGAGGTCGTACCCGTGTTGTTGGGGGGTCGTTGAAAGTCGTTAAAACCGTTTGGGTCATAAGGGTCGTTGGTCTAGCGTATTGCCAGATACCCAAAGAATGTTCTATATTACTGAGGGTATATACAAACACTTGTTGTCTTTAAAAGTAGGTTCTATTCTCGTACGGGAGATAATATTACAGAGGACACAGGAAGCCTGTGGGCACACCACCAGGACTCAGTCTTAACTACCTCTACATCTATCTATGTATTACTACGCGCTGGCCTATACAGATGCCAGCATTCACAAGCTGAATACATAAAGTATAAATGTGATAATTTATATACATAATATGGTGCACAATAAATAGAATATTACATAGAATTAATACATGTTCTGTAATGCTTTACTATACATAATTAATAATAGTAATATAAGAGTAATATAATAATATACAGCTGAAGGCACTACTTTGTGTCCATATATATCATACAGTTGGTACAGTTGATGTTGTTTGAATTATAAATAACGTCAATTTATATAGTACTTTGTGAAGGTATTAAAGAGATGTTGTTGTTGTAGGAAGTCGTTAGGGTAATTTAAGTCGTTAAAAGTCGTTAGAAGTCGTTAGAATATCTCGGTGGTGTCGTTCAGCTTAAAGACTTCAGTAGTACAGTAGTCGTCGCCATCGTTGGAGAGTAAAGTCACTTAGTTGTTTATTTTCGTTTTTATAACCTCTTGTGTCGTCGTTGTATCACTGGTCGTCGAGTCACTGGTCGTTGAGTCACAGGTCGTTGAGTCTGGTCGTTGAGTCTCTTCTCGTTGAATCTCTGGTCGTCGAGTCACAGGTCGTTGAGTATCTGGTCGTTGAGTCACAGGTCATTGAAACTCACAGGTCGTTGAAGTGATCTAAGGCTGAGGTCGACGATGAAGAGGTTGAAGTCAAGATGTTGTTCGAATCATTAAATCTTACGTCGAGGTCAAGAGATTAACATTGAGGTTGACTTCATTGAGGTTGACTTCATCGAGGTTGACTTCATCGAGGTTGACTTCATCGAGGTTGACTTCATCGAGGTTACCTGAACCCCTTGAGGTCGACCACTACGAGATCGAAAGAAAAATTGAGGTCTACGAGAACGAGGTCAATATTAAATCCTTGAGGTCGACTCGGATGAGGTTGAAGTAGTGAGGTTGATGGAGGTTCGAGGTAGTGGATGTAGCTAGCTCTCCAGTGTACAAGGACGTGTGAACCGGGCGTGTGAACCGGGCGTGTGAACCGGGCGTGTGAACCGGGCGTGTGAACCGAGGCGTGTATTGAGTGAGTGAGGATCGTGACCTACCCACCACCTGCCTGACATACAGTACAACCAACTTGCTTTAATTTATGTCTCTCTCTCTCTCTCTCTCTCTCTCTCTTTCGTCTTTATCTCCTCCTCGTCTTTTCTTTTCCTCTTCTTCGCTTCTCTTTTTCTTCTGCTTCCTCCTCCTGTTCCTATTCCTCCCTCTCCTAACTTCTTCTTGATCTTATTCCAATTCCCTTTGCTTAATTTTCCGCTTTGTTGTCATTGCTCTCTCTCTCTCTCTCTCTCTCTCTCTCTCTCTCTCTCTCTCTCTCTCTCTCTCTCTCTCTCTCTCTCTCACTCTCCTTTGTTTCCCTCACCCCCCCCTCACCTCTCACATCAACAACCACTCAGCTCAGAGCTCTCCCCCACTTTCCCCTCCTCCTTCCCCTCACTCTCCTTCCCCTCCTCTCCTTCCCCCTCCTCTCCTTCCCCTTCTCTCCTACTTGTCGTTCGCCTCTCTTGTCACTTGGTGGTAGACGTAGTTAGTGGTGGTAGACGTAGTTAGTGGTGGTTAGACGTAGTTAGTGGTGGTAGACGTAGTTAGTGGTGGTAGACGTAGTTAGTGGTGGTAGACGTAGTTAGTGGTGGTAGACGTAGTTAGTGATGGTTAGACGTAGTTAGTGGTGGTTAGACGTAGTTAGTGGTGGTTAGACGTAGTTAGTGATGGGAAACATGATAATATAGGCAAGCAGGAAGTGTGTTTTTGTTAGTATATATAGACAATGAGAAACGTAGTTAATTATATAAACACTGGAAGCCGTAATTAATGATAAGTTGTGTTGCGTTACTCTGATAATTACGTATAATCTTAGTCTTTCATCTTTATTGTCGATTTTTATGTCTCATTTATTCAGATTTTCTTTCGCATCTTCTTGACGTTTTTAGTCATAGTTTCTTCTATTTTTATTCTTTATCGCTTTAGTTGTTTTTATTTCGACTTTATAAGTATTTTCTGGTTTTAACTACGAACTGTTGATCTTCAGTTAATGGGGTGAAGTTATGAAGCCATTAAGCCACAGTTAAGGAAGATAATTAATCTCTCTTGGTCATCATTCTCCCCATATCTCCTTTTAATCTCCCCACTTCTCTTATTCTCCCCACCCCACCCCACCCCACCCCCCCTTTCTTCTTTGCCCACTCCTCTTCACCTCGATTCCTTCCCCTACCACCCACACTCTTTCCTCAGCACCCACTCCCCTTCCCCATCACCCACACTCCTTCCCCATCACCCACTACGTCCTCCGCCACCCACTCCCCTTCCCACTCTTCCCACTCCTTCCACCGCTGGGCCTCGAGGGGGAAACACAGAGGCAAGGCAGGAGGCAGTTAAAACCCACTCTTAAGTCCTACTAGTAGTAAGAGCGGTAGTTGGTCAGCGTCACCTCTCTCCCTCCGTCGAGTAATGCACAGCTAGCGTGATCCTCTAAGCTGAGCCGGATGCTGCCCACTCGATGCTCTTTTGTCTCGTTTATTCTCTCTCTCGTATTGGATCGTTTACTTAGAGGCTGAAAGAAGGCGATTGGGGGTTTCTTTCATCTATTGTGATTGTTGAGTTTATATTATTCTCTATAAGATACGATTTGTTTTTGTTTTGTTTTTAAAGATATAATAATGAGGTTTAGTTGAAATATATAAAATGGTTTGTTATATATTGGTTAGAGGAAGACGACTGAAAAAAAAGTATTAGGGAATTAATTAATATAAGTGAAGATAACAAATATTTACGAGTTTTAACATAAATTAAAGTAGGTTATTGTTATTTTGTTACTATGCATGAACAACGAAGGTCTAACAACAACAAAATAACGAAAAATAGAACTGTCTCAATTACATAGTTTATTTAGAGTTAATTATACAGTCCAGGTGTGTTAATTCGCCTAAGAACACTTGTTTAGTCGACAGTATTCAGTTTATGTAGTGTTCATTCTACAAGACTTCTGTAACAGGTGTTTATTGTGATATGATACAGATATGGATTAGTTTTACTTAGTGCTTTATAGTTAATTGAATATAGAGGAATTTATTACATGATGAGGTTAAATACAGGAAAAATACATTACCATCTGAAGGGTTTAAATACAGGAAAAATACATTACCTTTTGAAGGGTTTAAATACAGTAATAATACATTACCTGCTGGAGGGTTTAAAGACAATAATACAACACCAAGAAGGTAAAACATCAGGGAAAAATGTCATCACAGGAAAAAACTGAAATACTTGACGTGTATAAAATAAATACAACAGAGGGGAAACAGACGACACTCGGTGAGAGGTTGGCGGTGACAAAATAAGTAAAGTTTTGTATTTTTCACCGTGTTTGGACGTGTGTGTGTGTGTGTGTGTGTGTGTGTGTGTGTGTGTGTGTGTGTGTGTGTACGTGTGAGTGTACGGGGATTAGCCCACCCGGGCACAGGTCACTGACCCACATCAGGGCCTGTGGGGCGAAAATATAATAAAAATAATAATAATAATAATAATTTGTATTATTATTATTATCATTACAACAATTAATAAAATTAATAGCAAATTAATAAAAATAAAATAATAATAATAATAATAATAATAATAATAATAATAATAATAATAATAATAATAATAATAAATACAAAAACGAAAAAATAAATCAAGAGTGAGAAACGATACACATTATGTGTTGTGTTGTCATAATGAGAAACAATTGAGACCCTGCAATTGTGTGTAAATGAGGCAGAAAGTCAGATCAACAACCTGGGACTTGGTCAATTTGTGGTGCCATATGGCAGCAGGGTCCAATTATAGACAACACATTATGCTTCCAATATCTTCCCAGGCGGTAGTACTCTCCTGTTTGGTAGCTGCCTACTACCTATGTACGTGTGTGTGTGTGTGTGTGTGTGTGTGTGTGTTTTATTCATTAGTTTCTGGATTTTTTTCATACAAACTATTGAAAATCCTTTGGATATTTGTGAAAAAGGACAATTTTTTTTAACCATGTTGCTGTATAACCTAACTTGACCTAACCTAACTTGACCTGACCTAGCCTGACCTGACCTTTACTGTTTCACCTGTTAGTATCTCCTGTTAGTCATCAGTCGTCCTCCTGTTAGCTATCAGTCTTCCCACCATTACTCTCCCGTTAGCTTACCGTTTACAGAAGACAATCACGTGACGCTTTACTCAATATCTCCATAAAATTCCTAATGGCTGAAATTGCTTTTGGAATTTAACTGAGTTTACCATGAATAAAAAAATCTGAAATCTTCGTTTTTTCTGAATGTTAAATGAGAGTCCCGCCGTTTTCCTTGTGTTTTAGTGGAATAAATAATTTTTTTTGTGTGTTTTTACGTTCAGTTAAATTAATTTTGTGTCCAGTGACTAAACCAAATTTCTATATTCAGTGAAATTATTATTATTATTTTTTTTACATTTCCTGAGATAGATTCTCTTTCGAGTTCACGTTCTCTATTGGTCATGAGATCCTCCAATCACACGAGAGCATCTGTTGGTCCCAGCCAATCACCTTCTGCGTGGTAGGAAAGGGGCGTGGTGATAATACACCTTGCCAAGTGTATAGGGGAAAGGGTGGATGGGTGGACGGGGGGGTAAATGGGTGGGTGTGTGGGGTGTACAGGTGTGGGCGTGTGGGTTCGTGGGTGTGTTGGTGTGGGTATTCGGCATCAAGGCAAACAGGATAGTGGGAATTGAAGGGAAAGAGAAGGGAAAGGGAGAGGAGAGTTATAAATATGGAAGGGGAAGAAGCTTGTGGATTGAGGTGGAAGAGGGAGTAAGGGGTGAAGGAAAGGGGAGGAGATGAAAGGAAGGAAGGGGGTTAAAAATGAGGGGAAGGGAGGAAGGGGGTTGAGGTGAGGGAAGGGTTGAAGGTGAGGGAAAGGAGGAAGGAAGGGGTTGAAAGTGAGGGAAGGGGTGGAAAGTGAGAGGAAATAAGTTGAAAGTGAGGGGGAAGGGGTTGGAGGTAAGGGGAAGGGGACTAGATGACGTAAGACCTTCCCCCTCCCCCCCCCCCCCCATCAGCTGGGACCACACATACAGGTCGAGCAGAAACAGCAACGCCTGGTGACGGTGGTAAAGGGGAAGACCTGTAAGGATGGCGGCCACCCTCTGACTAACTAACAACCTGTAACCTGCAGCCTGTAACAAGCGGCCACCTTCTGAATAACTAACAGCCTACAGCCTGTAACTACCTGCCACCCTCTGACTAACGAATAACCTGCAACCTCTAACTAGCGGCCACCTTCTGACTAACAGCCTGTAACCTGCAACCTGTAACTAGCAGCCACCCTCTAACTAACAGCCTGTAACCTGCAGCCACCCTATAAATAACAGCCTGTAAACCTATAACATTTGGTATGATATATACGTTTATATAGATGTGCTAGTGTATGTATGTATGTATGTATGTATGTATGTATGTATGTATGTATGTAATGTATGTATGTATGTATGTATGTATGTATGTATGTATGTCTAGGTGAGTGATGGTGGTGGTGAGTAAAGCCGCTATACATTACACATGATCTTGGAGATTATACATCGTTTCTAATGTCCCTAGTGACCAAGTTTGACTGCTGGAGATTACCTGATAATTGTACCTTATTATGGTAATTAGAGGTTAATTATCTGTGTGTGTGTGTGTGTGTGTGTGTGTGTGTGTGTGTGTGTGTGTGTGTGTCATTTGTAAACACAGGATTAGTGACGTCATTATATCATTACCTTTCATCTTTATTTTGTTTTTTTTGTTTTCTTGTTTATTCATTATT